CCAAGTAATTTTCTTCAGAATTCTTGATTTCACTGAATCAGTTACTTTTTTTTCTGCGTGGCTAATTTCAGGCTTTATATTGAATAGGTTCTTCAAGGAATCCAGTTTAGAAGAGAGAGAGCATGCTGAGAAATTGATGGAATATCAGGTTTTATCTAATTAATCAATTGTTTTTTGCTGTTTTCCTTTACGCAGTCTCATATAAATTCGTTTGTGTCTCTGATTGTTTTCCTGATATGCATTTGCTTACTATATTATCAGAACAAAAGAGGTGGAAAAGTGAAGCTGCTATCCATCTTGATGCCCCTCACGGAGTTTGATTATGCTGAGAAAGGAGACGCTTTATATGGTGAGTTGAAACTATTACAGGCAGATTTGTGGTTGGTTTGATAGATTTGGCTGCCATCTTCGTATTCTCGCCTTTAGGTAATAGATATCTAAAATGGACAAAGCAATGGGATGAACGTTCATGCTGCAACAGTGGAAATATATTTGTGAATTTGTATCATTGATGTGTACATATTTGTATAGTAGTTATGTTGCTCCCATTCTCTGTATCTTTTGAAATTCAGTATGGACTACAATACATTAGAGAACTCTAACACAAATTAACATATCCGAGTTGAATGCATACCCAAGGGTCGCACACAAGTCCAAGTAACATAGACTTATTGGTAACTGTATGATAATGCAAAAAATGTGCTTTGTATTTTAGCATTTTATATGTGCACAAAACTGATTGTTTTGAATTCTTTGGTTCATCTATGGAGCTTGCCTTGTCCCTGGAGAAACTAACAAATAAAAAGCTCTTGAACTTGCACAGGGCAAAACTTTACTCTCTTTCTGTTTGCATTTTTGATACCTCAGTAAGGTGTAAAGGTCTCACACTAGTCGATTTCAATTATAAAATTGATGGATGAAAAAAGTGTGTTTTAAACTAATGTTGGAGGCTTTGGCTAATATGTAGCTGAGCAGAGCAGTGACGTGCAACTGACTGATTTCGTTGAAGGCAAGTTCCTATCTGAACAGGTAAAATGCTATTTTGCTGCATTTGGTTTTCTTGCAGGAAGCAAATTCTCACACTATTACTGTTTCTTTAGGTGGAGACGCCATCAAGAAAATATCAGAGTATGTAGCTCAATTGAGAAGAGTTGGCAAAGGACATGGTATGAATTTACACTAGTGTTGTTTTGGTAAAAAGTATGCTGCCATTAGTTTGTTGATATTGATGTGTTTGGTTTGGTGGATAATCAGGGGTGTGGCACTTTGATCAAATGCTTCTTCATGAGGGGGAGGCAGCTGTTGCATGAAACTGGGGAATTGTTGAATAAGGTTAGATTTTGTTGTAAGATGTAAAACTCTGGTGTTGATGATTAGAGATGATGATAACTAAATGTTGTTAATGGATTTCATATTTTGTTTAGTAATAATCATTCGAGTTGTTTTTCATGCAAACCTAGCAATGGGGAATGAAGTGGTGATAGTTGTTTAAAATGAATAGAGAATAGCATTTACTGTGCAAGGTTTGTGGCTTCTGATGTTGAGTATTAGAATAGAAGCAAAGAACAGATTAAAGAGGTGATGTTGATAGCTGTGTTTCACACCAACAATATCGACTTGACTCGATTTAGTCCCTTAGGTTTTGTTATAAGCTCAATTTTGTCCATATTTCTTCCAAACAAGGTTTATGGTTTCTGATGTTTGTGGACTTTTATTCTCTATACAAAAATTTGGCTGTTTGATGTATGGTTCGATCAGGTTCTTCCCAAGGAATGCAGTGTTTAGTGGAGTTGTGTGATTTGTTGCATTCTTAATATCCTTAACCTTTTTTTTTTTTTTGGCTTGGCTCGTTTTCTTTAATGGATTGGGAGCTTGGACTATTAATGAATAACACTTGTGTACTTTTAAATGATGAAATTATGAAAATCTGAGTAAGATTGTGAAATTTGAGAAAAAAATATGGATTAAATTGAGCTTATAGCAAAACCTAAGGGTTAGATTGGAGATGTTTGGAGTTCTGGATTATTTTCCTGAAAAGTTTTGGAAGTATGAGGGTTACATTGTGAATTCTAGTGAACTCAAGACTAAATTGGAAATATTCAAAAATTCAGAGTCAAGTGTAAAATTTGGTGCAACTTCTAGAAACTCTAAAAAGTTTACTGAGTAGTACCGTAATTTACCATTTTTCTATTTTTATAGAGGCAAACACTTTCCTCGTCATCAGTTCAAACTGAAACCCCAAAAATGAATCAATCCTCGTTTCTTATTTTATTTTAGAGTAAATTGTGCACTTAAACTTTAATGGCTTTAAAATTATTTTGTTTTATCTTAGTATATTTTAATACTTTATCGTTAAAAGTTTAACGGCATTTTATATTTTGGATAAATTATATCATTTATTACTTATACTTTTAATTGTTTTAAAATTATTTTATTTTAGTATGTTATCGTTAAAAAAATTAAGGGTATTTTATATTTTGGATAAATTATATTATTTATTATAATTATTTTCTCACTCGTATTTTGATATTACGGTTTAAAAAAATTATTTAACTTTTAAACCACTCTTATTTTGATCATTTTAATTTATATTTTATTAGCATGAATCGAATTATCCCAATGATTACATGAATGATTATTATTCTTAGAAGTTACGGGTGTATTTTTGCACTAGCGAGTAGTAGGGTGATCGAGCGTTATTATCAAATAATTGAGAATATTTATAACAAATAATATTTTGTAATCACCTAAGTTTAATAAAAAAATTATTTTATTAATATTTTTGTTATATGATATTTTTATTATTATTTTATTAATATATAATTAAAAAAATTAAATTTGAAAGTGAGTGATTAAATTTGGAGTAATTTGAAAGTTAAATAATTAAGTTGAAAAAAATTAAATGTTAATGATTAAAATAAGAGTGAGAAGATAGTTGAATGATTATGATGCAATTTATCTGTAAAAAATATACCACGTGTGAATGTGTATTAAGTTTTCAACGGTAAAATACTAAAACGAAACTAAAACTAAACGTTAAACATTATTTTGAAAAATATGAAAAGTTTAAGTGCTAACACAGATCTAAATTGATAATTTAAGTAGTAAATTTACTTGTTGATCACCTTATTTATTCATACATTTTTAATTATAATACTACAATTCGTTTTTATTTTGGTTAGATGTCATTATATACTTTGATCATATGTCATTATATTTGTTGAATTAAACTTATATTTGATCGTTTACTTAATCAAAAAATATAATATTTAGCTGTCCCTTGTTCCCATATATAATGGGGTAAGGGGGAGGTAATATAGTAGACTGCCCCCAACACCAGGTTGAGAGCAGCTTCCGTAGAAGACCTCCGAATTATGAAATGCCCTCCGTGGGACTCGATCCCACGACCTCAAGGTTAAGAACCTTGTGCTCTACCAACTGAGCTGGATAGTCATCTCAATCAAAAAATATAATATGATATGATATAATAATATATTTAATTTTTAAAATTTATAGAATATATTAGATTTATTCTAATTTAAAATAATTAAATAAATTTTTAATATTTAAAATTTTGAGATTTTCACTGATAAGAAAACGTGAAATTTATCGGTGAGAATAACTCTCAATTCTTCAAGGCCAACAATCTCGTCAGAGTTCCTTATCTAATTGTAACAAAATAGATTCCAACAATTTTGAGTTTTCTTAGTAGCCAAACAATTTTCTAGTTCAAGGGTTGTTAACGTACAACAAATGTAGTGTTGGGCTCGAGAACGGAGGATGTTTTCAAGGTCTGGTGTGCGGCAACGGTTTTAAATATTAGAAATTTCTTTTCCAAGCTTATCTTCTTCTTCACCTTCTTTTTCTCTTTTCTCCTTGCGAGTTCACTAAAGGTGTGAGCTTTATTTTTCATTATTCCTAGTATTTGTATGGTAAGATCATTAATCAACTCATCTAGAGCTTTCTTTTAAGTCATTTTTCTCAAAGTTTGACCATAGTGGTAAGGGTGAGATTTTAGAGAAATTTTGAGTTCTAGAGCTTAAGGGTGGTTTGACTCGTTTCAAATGTTTAGAAATCATATTTCTACTACTCCTAAGTCCTTAGATGAGTTAATGACTTATTTACTTGTTGGTTTATTAGTGAAAGAAGTGGGAGATAGCTCCAAAGGCAAGAGCAAGGAGAAACTTGTGCTTGAGTAAGTTTGAAGTTGTTCTTCAACAGCTAGGAGTAAGGTAACACACATCTAACTCTTTTATAACACTTATGGAATAACATGTGTAGTTTGCTTGCTTGTATAAGTGCATTAGCATAATGGGTGGATTTAAGTTCATTGAGATGTTTTTTTATGTTATTCACGCATGGAAAAGACATACTATGATCCATTTTAACTCTTATAAGCTTTAAATAACGTTTGAGAGCCTTAGGAGTAGGGGTGAGCGTTCGATCGAGTCGAGTCAAAAATATTCGAGTTATTTGAGTTGACGAGTCCTATTTTACAACTCAGAGTTGACTTGAAACTTTTTTGAGTCGAGTCAAGTTTAAGAAATTTAAGTCGAATTATTCGAGTTTCTCTATAAAATAATATTTTTTCATTTAAAAACAAACCTCATTAAAACCCGCTTCTTATCCAAGTCATGACAAATCAAACCAAAGACAGTGGAAGGAGGGAAAAAAGTACCCCAAAATATATTAATAACTAAATCGAACAATTACATTGTAGAGTTTAGAAAATCCAACATCACAAAATGATACCCCAAAAAAGCAAACAAAGTGATGATAGTCTAAACATTCAAACAACAAGCTACTTCTTAGTTCTCGAATTATATTGTCTAAAACCTTAAACTTCCTCTTCATTTTCATACATTGTAGGTAACTTCGAAAAAACTTTTTTATCGACTTTTCTTGATAAATCTAAAAAAGTTGAAAACAAATATGTTAGTTGAATTATAAATAAATTTATAATATAGATGAAGTAAAAAAATTAACATTACAAATAAAAACTAAATATTACCATCTTCCATCTCTTGAAGTTCCAAAACATACTCATCAAGATTGATGTGATCCTTAGATTTCCGAAGCCAATCCTGAGTGCAAATCAAAGCTTCCACCATCGTCGAAGTTAATGAACTTCTAAAACAATCTAGAACATGTCCACTAGTGCTAAATGCACTTTCTGGGGCAACTGTCGAAATAGGAACAGAGAAAACATCTCGAGCCATTTGTGCAAGAATAGGGTATCTTGGACTATTCACTTTCCACCACAATAATAGATCAAATGAACTCAAGTTGTTTTCATCTTCCTCTTCAGCTAAAAATTTATCCAACTCATATTTTTGCTCCAACCAAATTGTTGCTTCTTCAACAAATATTGTTGCACGAATAAACTCACCTTTAATTGATGCAAGTCCATAGACAATGACACTTTTATTAGAATACGTGATTGACCTTCGAGAGCGGTCATAGTTCTCCAGACAATGAAAGAGTATTCATCAAACAAATAATGTAATTCTTTATCAATCATCTTCATAACCTCGCTAGCAACATTAGGAAAAAGTAAGTATACCCCAAAATTCACAAAGCCCATTTTTCATCGCGGATCTAAGGTAATGGCTAAGTGAAATATGAAGTTGATATTCTTGACTTCACCCTAATACTTGTTGTATTTCTCCCTTATTTTTTAAGTCATGGAGATTATTTCTAAGTCCTCACAATTTATCCATCCATCAAGTAAACAATGCATTCCTTTCAATGTTTCCCAAAAGAAATAATAGGTGACATACAATGATCCATACACCTTCAATGTAAGATCATAAAAAGGCTCTAAAATCTTTGCAATTCTTCGAACATTTTCCCAATCATCAAATGTAGGGACTCCATCTCCAACTATGTGGTTGAGAAAAAAGCTATTGTCATCACGAGCAAATGAATCAAATGAATGCTCATATTTTTCAGCCACATTCAACATCATATAAGTTGAGTTCCACCTAGTAGGCACATCTAAACGCAAATGAGCTTTAGTATATATCATTTCTTCATATGCTCAGTCATAGAATTTTTCATCCTTGTTGTATTTCTTTTTCTGCTTGGTTATAGAATTTTTTCACAGCAGCTCTAACTCGATCAACAGACAAAGAAGCACACTTAACACATTATTTCATGCTAAGATTAATAATGTGTGCGACAAATCTCATATGCATATATTTCCTATTAGCAACACACGTATTTAGATGGTTCAACCTCTTTCTCAAATATTCAATACCAACACCATTACCAGATACATTATCAACTGTAATAGTGAAATACCCTTTCAATCTCCCAATCCCGGATGCACTTTTCAAGGGATTGACATATGCTTTCACCTTTATGAGCATATATTGGATATAATTTTATGATTCTCTTTTGCAACATCCATTCATCATCTATCCAATGTACCATTAGAACCATGTAAGATACCCTTTGCAGTGAAGTCCAAGTGTCAGTTGTCAAACAAATTCTACTTGTATCTTTTTCAAAAGCATTCTTTATTAACCTCTTCATTGAGTTGAATAAATCGAGACAATCCCTTCTAATTGTAAAATGAGAAGGGAGATGAAACCTTGGGCATGTTAGAGAAATAATGACTTAAACCCTTTACCCTCTATAATTCGAAAAGATAGCTCATCCACGATTATCATGTGAATCTATGCCTTTATAATAGCCTCTTATTCAAACTTCCAAGTTGAAAGTTTTGTTGCTTCACTTTCAAGGTCATACAGAAGTATTTCTATTTAAGATTGTCTGGAATCCGAAGTATTGCCTCGAGGTTTATTTAATCATGTCTTCAAATGATTATTCAAACTAGTTGTAGAAACACCGGTTTTCATGCAGTAAGTCGTGTCACAATAATTCCATATTGTGCTATTTTCTCCATCTTTAGTTACATATATTTTGAAATGATTCCAACATGCTATTATTGGTTTTTGTATCTTTTGAACATTTTTATTACTCGTTGGATCATTGACTTTACATGTAGAAGAACTTTGTGAACTTTGAGTTGTACTATGACCACAAGGTTGTGACTTTTGAGTCCCTTATGATTCACTCATCTACAATATCATAAAGAACATGAATTGTGATGAATTTACAAAACATAAAAGGACAAAACCAAATGATTGAACATAAAGGAAAAGAATCAAGAAGTTCATAAAAGAAAATATAACATTTTGCTTTTAAGAGGGAAGTGGTATCAAACTACGCTGTTCAAATTTATCCTTTGAAACAATGGGCACACCAAGAATAATTTAATGGAAGAATAACAATTAATTGAACTTTCAAACTCTTTTAGTTTATTTGTGGGGTATAAAATCTCTATACAATGAGAGAAATTTAAGCTTGGACAATGGTTAAATCCATCTAAGGCAGCCAACGACTTCATATAATCATTTTTCTATGTATGGCAACACCCTAATACATTTAGTTAGCTTCTGATTTTTTCCTGATGCGTATCGAGTATGCTCATAATGATTCATATGCCAGTTAGATATTAAAACTATTTGATTTCACAGAATCATATGTTTGTGGAAGTTTTTTTTACAATTTTTGGTTTTGGGTGTGTACACGTGAACATCTGCAAAATTTATAACAAAACAAATGTTGCAAAGCTCTTGCTTTTAATAGCATAACGGCCCAGTTTAGGAAAAAACTTATAATTTTTCAATTTGCAATGGGTATTATTAGTGCTAATCATTCTATGATATATATACAAGACTAATTTTACAGTTAACTTTGTTTGAAGTCCATTGATCATTCTAGCATTTCCAAAACCGCTATCTAATCACAAATATCACGCTTCAACTATTTCGTTTCCATTCAATTTTTATCTATCCTATAACTTTACTATGAAATGCATTTATATATTTATGTTTGAGAGATATAAAAAATTCATATATTGTTTACGAGACAAAAAACAAAGATGTCAAATATTGAATATAAATGAAAATAACAGCTAACAAACACAGGAAAGTAGCCAACAACTTACTTGAATTCGTGAGGCCCCCTTAATAAAAATGTAGATATCAGTGCTAATTGATTTGTGGATTAATCATGAAACGATATAGTGTTGCTATCAATTAAAAAAGCTTTAGGGGCTTTGACTTTATCGTGAGTATTGTTGGTCGTTAGGTCAAGGTGGTCTGTAAAGGGATTTACAAAACTAAATGATGTAGTTTTGAAATACTTAAAACAAATATCAAAACAAAGTCATTTTACATTTCAATTTTTTTGTTTTTCGAGTTGGCAAAATCTGAACTCGACTTGAACTCAAAATTTGAATAAAAAATTTGAGTTAACTCAAATAACTTGAATTTGAAAAAAGATTCAAATTTTCGAGTTGAGTCTAGTTTTGCTCATCCCTACTTAGGAGGGCTTTGAGGTGTGTAGGAGTGACCTTTTCATGAAAAACAATGCATTTCTAGGTTTTAGTATTAATGTTAGACGAACACTATCGACATTGTTCTTGAGGAAGCCAAAAATAGGGGTTTTGTTTGGGTAGTATCGATATTATGTTCATAGAGTATTAGTATTGTTCTTTGGGTATTGATATTGATGTAATGCTCTGGATCACGGGTTAGTAGTTTCATGTTAGCCCAAGTGAGTTTAAACTAAGCCATTAGCCTTGTATGAAAGCTTAACCCAAATGGTGTTGGTTTGGGCTTGTTTGGGCCCAATGAATGTCAAAAAGGGCATTTTTCATTTGTAAGTAAATCTGATGCTCTTACTCCATTAAATAAATCCTTGTACTTTTCAATTTAATTAAATAAACCCACCAAATTTTAATCCTTTCAGTGTGGTCACTAACCCGATATTTGGGGTATTACACAACAGCTTAGGAAATCAAGGTAACTCACTTCTAACTCAACTATACTACATTGTAGATCACTAGGTGAGTTTGTTAGCTTGCATGAGTCATGAAACATGTTCATGATAGATTTCAATGCTTGGGTGTTTACATCATGTTTACAAACATATTATGACCCCTATAATCAGAAATAACACTTTAATAAAATCTAGGGACCTCAGTAGGACATATAGGAATATTGGAGTGGTATTTTAGTGCATAAAACATGGTATTTTTTGGCATGAGTATTGATACCAGAAGAACAACACCATAATGTTATTCATATGCTAAAAACAAAGGGTTTTTGGGTTAGAAGTATCGATATTGATGCAATGGGTATCAATACTGTAGGTGGGGCATCGATACTCATAAGTCGTATCGATACCAAGTTCCTAGTAGCCCTTTTCAGTATCAATCCTCATAGGGGTATTGATACCAAGGGTAGAGTATCGAAACTCCCCAATAGGTGTATCGATACTTAGTTATTTTTCAGAACATCAAAGAAATATCTAGTATCGATACTCAGGAAAGTATCAATACCATAAACTAGAAGTATCGATACTCAAGCTAAAGTATCGATACCAGTACTTTGTCATCAACATTAAATAAGTCAGTAGCATCGATACCTAGAGGTTAGTATCGATACCTAGAGGTCAGTATTGATATTGAGGGGCTTGATATCGGTACCCATGAACATTTTTGGGTAAGAAACCAAGGACATTAAAGGATAGTTTTGAGGGACCAAATTACACCAAAATACCATGGAATAAAACTACAAGTGAGAACAAAAATAAACTCAGAATAGTTAGAAACAATAACAACTAGAATGACATAAAACTAACCTTATTTGATGCTCTAAGCATAGTTAGGACACATGAGTTACATTAGCAGATACGATCATACAATTGGATATCCCAGTTAGTGCCAAGGCATTTTGCCAACTAGGCGAAGATGCCCCAAGACTCAATGGAGTAAGTTGGTCGGGTGTATGTTTCTGATGCAGTTTCGGACATCACCCTAAATACCCAAGGGTATTTAGGAAATCTAGAGGGGTGTGTGAGCTCTAAATGTATAACCCTCAGCCACTCCATAATGCGTACCTCAGTATGGCATATGAGCTTTCCTTTACATCTTTATACCTATGCCTCTAGCATGCACATCTAGTGAATGCATGTAGTATAATATAGTTATTAGTTAGACACTGAGCTCGTAAGCTTAACGTTTGGAAAATGTTTCCATGCGTAGGTTCTTTGGAGGCCAATTATATAGTGTTATCGTCACCATATATTCCAACACAGTCGAGCGTTCAGAGTACGTCTTGATTTTACATTAAAGGGTATATACTATTATTGACCCTTTCGTATTCAGTTGTAAATCTATTTTCATTTTTAACTCAGTATATTTATTTTTGGATGATTTGGGAGCTCCTCATATTTTTAAACTTGATTATTACATTTTAATTTTATTTTACTTGGGATGGATTTTATGTGATGTTTTACAGTCGATTTAAAAGAAAGTTTTGGGTTAGCCACTTCGGTGGACCCGTGTGACATCTTAATCCATGGATCTTTCAGTTAAATTGGATTAGGGTCTTATATTTAATGGTGTAAGAGCATCGTATTTAGTCGTTCCTAGGACTTACGGATTAGAGTCAGTTAGCAATTATACGTGTATATGCCTCTAGAGAGTCAATAGTACTATAAAGATTGGAATGACGATAATAACCTCCAATTCTTTTTAATTTCAGAGAAAAACTATGACAAACAATCTAACTTACAGTTAAGATGGTAGGGAGAAAATCATCTATCCCTAGCAGTCAACACCGATGACGAGTTCATCCAGGATACAGAGCAATATGAGGTACCCATAGAAGCAGGAGCCGAGGAGGAAACCTTCTTTATGGACCTCACCTCAACCCTTAGACAGATAGTTAAGGCCATACCTAGCGCCTCAACTGCATCACTTTCCCCATCAATACCTCTAGCCCAGCCCATAGCAGTACCTTAGGAGTCCTAGTAGAGAGGATTTGTAGATACAAGATCACTGACTTTCATGGTTCAGGGGATAATGATCCCAAAGAAGTAGACCAGTAGCTTAGGAAGAATCTATTCTACCTCAGAAAACTGCACCTTACCTTAGTGGGTAAGATCGAG